AATTCACCCCAAACAATCTTAATTTTCTCAAGTTCCCACTTGGTGGTGTTTTGTTCTGAATTTCTGTCCCTGCAATAAATTTAACATATGATTATTGTACCAATAATTTGGAACAGATAAAAAAAGATAGGGTTTGTGAAATATAGTGCAAAGAGCAAGATTACCTGCATGAAGAGAGTCAGGTAGGTGTGGGGGTGAAGATCCTTGAGGGTGTGATGGATAAGGATATCCAGGGTAGAATGATCCGGTCCACCCACCATGACCACTACCAGCCACCGTAGGTGGCTGAGAAACAATCCTGTCTTGCCCTGCGCCGCCGTTTTTCCGCCTCCAACCGATGAAAGTTCTGCCGAAATCAGTCCTGTCGCGCTGGAAATGAACTATATCGCCTGCATTAAGTCTTTTTTCCTTAACAAAACGGCTCCACCCTTTTGTGAGTACATAACTTTGACTACTGTTCCAATAAGAATAACGGAATCTCCATAATTTTCCAAGCTCGTCCTCGAAGCTTAGCAGCAACCCTTTTTCTCCCGAATCGCCACCCTTTAAGGGAAAGTTTTTTTCTGCGTGTTGTTTGGGGATAACAAGGCGGTTTAGCTTGCCCACGTCGCTTGGCGTCAATGGTTTTTCGAACAAGGGTTCTTTATGAATTTCTTGTTCCTGGTATAATTGGCCTTCTTTTTCTTGCTCTTCGTGTTCTTCGCCTTCTTTATTGGTTAGATTGAAGCTGAAATTAGAAGTGTTTTGGTTGCAAAACATGGTGTTTTTTGGATACAATTGAGGCTGAAACATGAAGTTTTTGTGCTTTGAAGATGAAACTTTTGCAGGCAATTCCATTATGTGGTGGTGTTGTTGTTGTGCCCACCAGATGGCTTCTGGAAAATCTGAAGAGAGATGGTTCATTGACATTTTAGATGTAAAAACTGGCTTATGATAAACTTGAGGGGGGCCTATTTGATAGAAATGTCAATTGTGGGTTGGGGGGTAGGGGTAGGGTAGGCAATATATGCAAGTAGTTTTAAGGTTTTGCGTGATAGAAAAATTCAATCATTATATTCAGTGCCAAATCCCCTGTGAAAATTCGGTTGACGAATTGAAAAATAGTATTACTGACTTGGACAGAACATGTGTATTCCTGAATCTTGAGAAGAAAAGAGACTGTAGAGGTGAATAATATTATCTGAAACCCTCCCCATGTTACCATGTTACTATGCTGGCTGACTCACTACCCATCCAACACTTGGTTTTCAGTGAATTCATGTGAGACTAACAAATTATATAGGATTAATCTATTTTTTCATAAGGAAAATGACAGAAAGATTGACTTGTATGTGACAATAAATGATTGGGGTGAAAAAATTGATTGTTTTTTAAACTGTTCAATTATAGAATACCATGTAGCATTACGTCAAATATTATTTCAAGACATTTGATACTATAATATGATCATGGGCGGAGCCATGATTCAGTGAGACGGGGGCTAGTGAGTTAGACAGTGGGCTATTGGGTTGGACAGAAAAAAAAGTGCTATAATTTTTTTTTTTCTAGTAGAATTTGGCTTGGGCTGGGGTGGGCTACAGCCCACCCCTATATCCTCTCGGCCAGTACATAAGTCATGTTTCTCTGAACTTTATCAACAGAGAGTGTCAACACAAGCGGAGACCCTCCAAAAAGCCTGAAAACCTCTTCCGCCGAACACCCATATTTCTCTAAATTCA